CACTGGGAGGGTAGTAAAACACTGGAACAGGTTATCCAGAGAGGTAGTGGAAACTCCATCCTTGGAGGCTTTTAAAACCCGACTAGACAAATCTTTGACTGGGTGATCTAGTTGGGGATGGTCCTGTTTTGAGCAGGCAGTTGGACTAGATGACCCCTTGAGGTCCCTTCCAACCCTCATTTTCTATGTTTCTATGATTCTAACTTTACTGCCATCATCAGGTCCACACTGGATAGCTGAAAGCACACCACAGCCTGAAGTAGAGAGATTTGAGGTTAGCCTGGAGAGGGCTATCTCCTGATTGCTTCTATAGCCACATGCTGGCTCTGAGAGCACATTTTCAGCTGCTCTCCAGTTCATTACCATGTTTGGTCACACACTTGAAATGGGTCATTTCAGCCTATTTCTTGTTCAGTATTTGCTTTCACCCTGCTTTCCCTACTCCAGCTTGTATTTGGTAGGTGACATTGTGCCCTGGCTCTGGCACCTGATTAAATCCATACTTCTGGTATGAATCTCATAGGACCCCCTCATTATACCACTTGTAGATGAAGAATGCCAAAGTGCAACCTTCACACAATTCTAGGGAGTTTGTGTATGTGACTGCCCCAGCTTGGTCTGAGCAGCCAGGTTCCCAAGCAGTGGGCTTGGGGCTGCAGTTCTGCACTGGACAGGGAGCATTTTCCAAAGTCTGAACTAGTTGAGCTGGGAAAAGCTAGATGGAGGGAAGTGTCTGCACATGGCCCAGGCTGGAGCTGGGACTGGCTGTTGAACCCACTTATAACCCTGAGCTTTCTCTTCTTTCCATTCAGTTACCTGGAGGAGGCAGTGATGCACCTGGATCACAGCGACCCCATCACTCGAGACCACATGGGCTCTGTCATGAGCCAGGTGCGGCAGAAGCTCTTCCAATTCCTGCAGGCGGAGCCCCACAACAGCCTGGGCAAGGCTGCCCGCCGCCTCATGATAATGCTTCAGGGCTTGGTTACACCCAGCATGACCTAAAGGCGTCTGATTCCCTAGCGGGCTGCTCCATGGGAGCCCACTTAGCAGATCCACTAGTTACTAACCACGTGTGGCTTGTGTTAAGAGCTCTTGCCGGGAAATCTATTAAGCAAGCGTGTGATGTCTCAAAGGCAAACCTATCCATTGCTAAGGCAAATGCCATCTGTGTATAGTCCCCAATAATCACTGAACGCTCACTTGGCTTATTTTCTTCAACAGCCTCTTCCAGGAGAGCTAAGGCTTCTCTGACCCACCCATCCGTCCCCAAGGCCTGGCTGGCAACCCAATGTGCTGTGTCCTGGTCACATTCAGTTAAAGCCATTGGATTTCTTACCCCCCTTAAGTTGGTATTTGTTGCTGAGTGGAGGAGAGGAGAGCTGTGATGAGCCCCAGTGGAGTGAAGTGGGTGGATGCCTCAAGTTATGCATGCGCTCCTCACTCAAGGAAAAGAAATCTTTTTGTGCCTAAATCTATGAGCCCAGAAATCCTTTCCAGCTGTGTAGGCTGCTAACTCTCTGGTGGTATTGGAGCAAGTGCAAAGATACCTGCTGGAGGGCAGGGGGAAGAGAGTTCTGTCTGTCCCCTGGGCTCCTGCAGCTGTAGCACCATGGTAGTAAGGAGCCCAATGAGCCGGTTAGGCACCAGCAAGGGGCTGTGTATGCATATCTTCCCTGTGTTGGTTCTGGAGTGGGAGTGGAGGGAGGTGCCCTGGTTCAGGTTGGCCAGGGAGCATCATGCTGCAAGAGCCCAGTGGAGCCCTTCATCCTGCGTGTATTGGAGCATGTCCATGGATCAGATGTTTAGTTTGGATTTTACACCAGGGTTTTTCTTTTTATCTAAAATTTGAATCTTTTTGAATAACATTAAGAAAAGTTCAATAAACAACTTTTGGAGAAAAACCTGTGGGTGCTGCCTCTGTTCTCCTCAGGGCTGAGGTCACCTCGAACGGGCCCACTCCCTCTAGGGGGATGGAAGAACCAAGGAGAAGCTACATTGAGATCTCTGGGCTGGTGTGTGGTGGAGGTCTGGACGTCTGGGTTCTCTTCTCTTCCTCATCTCTCTGCCTCTGAGTTACCCTTGATTAGCTCTGACCTGCCTGATTTATATCTGTTGCTGGGAAGTGGATAATACAATACCATTCGTCTCAAGGGAGCTGAGAAGCATGTTCCTGTTTCAGAGTTCACCATCAGCAGAAAGAGGCAGTTACTCCACACTTATCTTCATTAGAAGAGGCTCTTCCTGTAGAACGAGTCTTGCTGTTCTTTGGTGCTGACCTGTCTTTAGCCCCTGAACGCTGAGTTGAGAAAGGGGTGAGATGTTAGCATCTCCAGGCGCAAAGAACCTAGAGCCCATTAGGCTTAGCAATAGGATTTGAAAAATGGATTCTAGTAAATCACAAACAAAAAGGGTTATGTTGTCCTGTATTGTGCGAACTCCCTTTGGCAGAGGACAGTTGTCTGTAGTTGACCACACCCCTCAGCTGTCAATTGTCCCAGTGTGAGTAGAATGACATCTCCTAACTTAATTTAGCTGGCTGGTTGGAACACATTGCTCTGTTACTCTGTGTCTGCCTGAGGAAAAAGTCAGACTGAGGCCAGACTTGCTACCATGTGAAGGATGAGTTGAAATTGGATTTAGGTGCTACTTCCTCATTGAGACTAAGCTATGAAAAGCTGTGCTGCATTGCAGGAATGAACTGGAGTTTGCAGGAACTCCATGCAAGAACTTCATGTGAATCCTGAGCTTGTGCAGGGAGCTTGGAGAAACAAAGCCCTGGCACAGGGACCTCTGTCTGGCATAATCAGCCTCTCCCCACTGGAAGTCTTCCTGCCTCCTATTTAGAATGATGTTGAGTGTGAAAGCTGCAACTTCTGCAGCTGGGACAGAGCCAGTTGCTCCAGGCTGTGTTAGGCCTGCTCCAGGACAGCCAAGACTCAACTGTAGCTATAGGCTGGGGCTGCTGCTTTGGGAGTCTTGTAGTCCTGTAATCAAACAAGTTTTCAGAGTGACTTGGACAAATCAGAGGATTGGGCCAAAAGGAATCTCATGAAGTTCAACAAGAACAAGTGCTAAGTCCTGCACTTGGGATGGAACAATCCCATGCATCAGTACAGGCTGGGGGCTGACTGGCTGGGCAGCAGCTCTACAATAAAGGACCTGGGGGTTACAGTGGACAATAAGCTGAATACCAGCCAACTGTGCCCTTGTTGCCAAGGCAGCTAACGGCATACGGGGCTGCATTGGTAGGTGTGTTGCCACTAAGTCAAGGGAAGTGATTATTTCCCTCTGTTCAGCACTGGTAAGGCCACATCTGGAGTACAGTGTTCTGTTTTGGGCCCCCACTACAGAAAGGATGTGGACAAATTGAGTCCAGCAGAGGGTGACAAATGGGGAGGGGGGTGGGTGACATGACTAATGAGGAAAGATGGGGTACTGGGCTTATTTAGTTTAGAGAAGAGAAGACTGAGAAGGGATTTACTAGCAGGCTTCAAGCTACCTGAAGGGGGATTTGAAAGAGGATGGGGCTAGACAGTTCTCAGTGGTGTCAGATGACAAGAAGCAGCAATGGTCTCAATTTGCAGCAAGGGAAGTTTAGGTTAGATAATAGGAAGAAGGCAGTGTGTTGCCTGGTCATCCTGGGTCAGACCCAAAAAAAGAACTTAGGTGCATAGGCTCTGCATGAATCCTGAATTGCAATTCAAAGCCAGCCACTCAGCAGCTACCTAACCCTGAAGGCATCTAAATTTGCCTGGCACCTTGCTGTCAGACCTGAAAGCTCCCTCAGTGCCTGCAGCCATGCTTCTGTGCATGCCCTGAACTGTCCTGGCCTGAACAGCTGGGGGCCCAGCTCCAGCCAAACCTGACTGGGATCTGGAAGCCGGGGAGGGTGGTGCCTATGGTCCCTTGAGCAGCCCAATCCCTCAGAAGTGATCTGAGCAAACTTGGCATGCATCTCCAACTGGGTCTGAGGTGGCCTTCCCAGTCTTGTCTAGTCTCATTGAGCACTCTCCTAGGAAGAGGGAGATGTGGCTTTTACTGCCCCATTGTTTAAAGTTTGTCCCCCACATTTCTTTGTTGCTGGTACCCACTATTCTCTTATCCTTCCATTCTAAAGTTCTCCATATCCTGTCCATCTCTTACAACAGTGTCTGGAGTCTGTAGCAGGCAAGCTGAGTTAAGCTCAGGCTCTTAGCATAACTTTAGACCTTCCTGGAACAAAGCAAATACATTGTACAGAGTGCCTTATAGGGCACTGGGCAAAATGAGTGCTATGGTTGATATGGTGGGCTAACCAGGTACAGTAGTTTCCCTAGAAGGAAAGAAAACCAAAAACCGAATAGGATTGGGAGTACCTTATCTGAAAAGATGAGGTAAGAAACCTGAGGATTAGATGGTTTGAGATGAGAAAGTTACGACAGTGGACAAACAGACAGCATGTGTTTGGTGTTGCCAGCCCACGGAGACGGGAGCAACCTTAGACTTCTTGCTTTGAGTAACAAGAAACTACCATCCCATACACCCAGCAGAGGATCTGATGCCAGTACCATCAGGCTGCTGTAACGCCTGAACAAAACGCTTGCCAGGTCGTATTGCAAGGAAGAATACTTGAAATGGTTTAGGGATTACTATTAAAAGTTCACTTGATACCAAATCAGATGAGGGGCCATATCAATCCTTGGGGGTCTCTGGTTAAAGGAATCCTAGGGGTGACAGAGTCCTCTAGGGGCATCATCTAAGTGAAAGGGGAGAGCATGGAGTTTGAGTTCATTTGGTGTCTGCTTCCAACATGGCAACACAAGAATTTGTTAGATGGGAATACTCAGAAATACCTCGTGTCTGTAGGTTGGAGCTAAAAATGCCAGAGTGCCATTTAAGGAGCAAGCCAGGACTTCGCACACTGTTTCCTTCACTGCCATGGTCTAATTCAAAGAGGTACAAGTACCTTGGGATGTCTGCAGGGTGTAAAATGTCAGAGAAGCCTTGATTCTTTTTCTTGGGGTCCAGGCTGCTGAAGTTTAACCAATTCCTTTGACAGCTGAGTTTTGCTAGAAGCAAAGTTGTTGATGACATGAGACCCTATTTAGCACACAAGTGTGCAGGTCTGGCCATTGGTGTTCGGGTTTTTTTAAAAAGATTTAATTTAAACTGGAACAGGTGCAAAGAAAGGCCACTGAGGTGATTAAAGGAGTGGGGACCTTGCCTTTATGGAGAAGATTAAGGGATCTGGCTTGTTTATTTTAGAACCAGGCGGGATATGATCTCCCTGTACAAGTACATTCATGGGCTGAACAGGGAGGGAGAAGTTTCTTTTCAACCTAAGATGCTTGCTGGCACAAGTCTGCAACCATTTTGTGGCCATCTGAGTAAGCGTAGATGGGAAATTATGACAAGATTTGTAAATCTGGGGGTGGGGGAAAGTGGTATGGTGCGCGTGATAGGTGAACTGTGTATTTGCAACCCCCAGGCTGGGGCACAGGGAGAGCTCTCCTGTAGTCAGCTGTCTGGGCTTTTGCTAGTCATTTGGGACCAACAAAGGATTTTTTTCTCTCTCAATGCTGCTAGTGGTTCCCTTTCCTCTGAAGCATTGAGTTGGTCTCGGCTAAGGTTGGCACACGTGGTTGCTCCTGCTGGAACTCGGAAAACCAAGAGGTTCTTGGGTAGAGCTGTTACTCTCTGCTCAGGATCATGCTGATCTCCAGTTCTGGCACCAGGAAGGCATTTCCCCCAGGTCAGGTTGGCAAGGGGGTGCTACCTCCTTCTGTGGTTTTGGTCCCGGTTCTTTTCTCGGATCTTCTGAGTTGCTGTTAACCAATAACTTCCCTGGCAAGGGTGAGACTTCCCGAGTCTCAAAGTGGGCTGCCCGGCTCCCTGGACCTGCTGGCATGCAGCTGTCTACCAGCTCCAGGCTCAGTTGAGCGTGTTGGAGAAGGAGAGGAGTGTAGAGGTGGGGGGTGCTGGAAGACCAGCACCTCTTATTTCCCCACAGTCCCTGTATCCCCGCTGGGCATGGGGCACAAGTGCCACAAGCTGATACGGTGGCTGGGACAGGTGGCTAAAACGGGACGTGCGCTCACCCTACCCCTTGTCCCTATGGTCGTGGCTAGTGGCAGTGCCCTCGCCTCCCCTGCCTTGACCCGGGGGGCAGAGCCTGCCTGTGACCCTGGAGAACCGGCCCAGCAGGCCCCGTCGGGCACGTCTCCCACCCCGCTCGCCCCGTCCCCCGAGCCAGGGGTTGCTCTGAGGCCTCAGCCCCGGCCCGGCAGAGCCGAGCGCCGCGCGGGACAGCGCCGGGGCTCGGGCAGGGCGCCCGCGGGG